ACCAAGCATGAGAGCATGTTCTAGTACACCCCCAAAACAAAATCAAGACTTTGTAAAAGAGCATAATAGGACCCCTTTAATAAATGCACTGTAATTAAACCCATTACATTTTAGCCGACTAAATTTACTGTAGATTTAGTCGACTAAAATCTTATGATATTTAGTCGACTAAAATTAGACTAAAACTAAAAACAATTCAGATGACTAAAAAATGACTAAAACTAAATGGCATTTCAGTCAAAAGACTATGACTAAAACTAAATAAAAATTTGCTGTCAAAATTAACACTGCTTTCCACAAAGTCTGGACCAATTTACAGCTTATTCTGTCCAAAGACTTATACGAGAAGAGACTTGTTAAAGAGCTCATTTCATCTGAGAACAATTTTGAGTGGGTTAATCTGAAAATTAATATTACAAAAATACACTGGCATTGGAAACATTTACATTAAAATTCAGCAACACCAAACTATGAAACGAAAATGTATTTTAATAAGAGTTTTTACCCATCCAAAGTAATAAATGCAAATGATTTCACACTATGGCTGGGCAATCCAGCTCAACATATAAAAGTAAAAGGCATTTCCCACACTGCACTGGCTATTGACAGATTTCACCAATCGATTCAATTCAGATTCACAAGATCTTGATTTGATTTTGATTCGTTTAGAAGCATATCAGCCACAATACATGCACATTTTTCTTAAGGAAAACAATCTCTCAACTAATGCTATGAACTACAATATGTCAGCTGGTGATAATGTTAGAATATCAGTAATATTAAAGATTTATTTTTGGATATACTGTAATAATCAACACTCAAATAAAAACTGAGATGTATACAAACATTACAACTGCACGTATAAGAGTTTCTATAGAACTACGTTTCTACTCCAATTTGTTGTCGAAATATAAACATTTAAACAGTGGCTGTCATTAAACTTATTTAATGTATAATTGAATAAATCTGTCATGATAACAAGAAGACATCACTAACAGATTAAATAATAATAATGAATATGTAATATAGTGCATATATTTAGCAAATGCTTCTCTCTAGAGTTAGCTTTTTCTAGGTGACTAACGAAATTAGTATTATATTTATTAGGAATACATGATATTATCCTTAATATTTATTGAGGTAAATGTAACATTGCATGACATTTATTGACATCTTTGCACAGTTTAAACACTGTCTGAGCGATTACAAGAGACATGACTCACTTCAGAAAGTTGTACGGTTTCTCAAAACAACATTTATGGTTTGAATTTTGTGATAAAACTGACAGAATTTGAAAGCTCTGACTTTGTTTGATTTGAAAGGTAAAGCACAAAGCTTATTATGATTACTGGACGGCAGGTGCATTACAAATGTTTAGTGAAGTTTCGAAACTGCATTAACTGCATAGAGTAAAAGACTGATCTTGAGATTTAAGAATCAATATCAGTTCATCAGCATGATTACAGATTAAGATCAAGAAATCGATTCTGTCAACCCAGCCCTAATAATATTATTTACATTTACATTACATTTTAATACATAAAAAAATGTCACACAGAGACTTCCTTGAAAATGTTGGAGTGATGAAGCACACAAATCTGTGAATTAGAGCTTCGAATCGATTCGCTTTTGAAATGATTCACGGAAATCAATCACTTACCAGCTCATTTTACAAAACCACTTTTTTTTTTTACTACTGATTGGATGCAACTGAAACATCAACTCTTTTTCACTACATTTACATTACATTTTAATACATAAAAAAATGTCACACAGAGACTTCCTTGAAAATGTTGGAGTGATGAAGCACACAAATCTGTGAATTAGAGCTTCGAATCGATTCGCTTTTGAAATGATTCATGGAAATTAATCACTTACCAGCTCATTTTACAAAACCACTTTTTTTTTTTACTACTGATTGGATGCAATTGAAACATCAACTCTTTTTCACAACAAGCTCGTTTCTATGCACAATATGCATCAGACGGTCAATAACCAGACCATGGTCATGCAATCTGAGGCCGAGACAACAAACTGTTTCTGAAACCTATGACTGACGTTGATCTGCTCATATCTACTCCAGATCATCACAAAACATGCCATAATAACATCTGAACAGCTGTGTTCTTCACATGCCAGAGGGACACCAGCCACATCTGTACTCATCTAATCAGCTGTCAGATAACAAGCGGACACAACTGTGATTTCTGCTCATTGTGCACGACTCTTATCGCTTCACGAATGGCTTCTCTCATTTCCTTTTATAATCTCACTCCTTTAAAAACAGGCTGATCATCTTTTATGCAGTAACTGGGAGGAAGGTGAACCGTGTGACTGATGTGTGTGTGTGTGTGTGCAACTTGCATTACACAACTTAAGACACTTAGAGAATGCATGCACAAATACTCAAAAACTCATATGGCTGACATACATCCATGCATGCGCACAGTGTGAATATACATAAGCACTCAAACACCACATGCATGCATGCACACATACTGTAAATACAAATAACACTAAATGGATGCATGCATGCATGCATATTTATACTCAAGCATGTTACACAGAAAACCATGCATGAGCATGCACACACACCATCAAGTACTCAAACCCCATGCACTTATGTACATGTACTCAAGCATACAAACACTAACACTCATGCATAAACACATATATGCATGCATGCATGCATATAAACACAAGCATGCATTTAAACACACACATACTCATACAAACCCATGCACATACGTACATACACTCAGAAGCACACATTTACATGCATCCACGCGCGCGCGTACACACTTCAGCATTGACAGCTCGTGCACAACTGCGTTGTCAACTGCTTAAAACAGCAAAAGCACAGTCTGTCCTTCATCAACCCTTCTCATCGGGCATGTCCACATCTGTTCTTGCTCATATGAAGTTTGCAAAGACACACATGAATGAGTTTAATCATCATAGATGCTTTATAAGCTCAGTTTGTTTAGTCAGACACATGAGAACCGTCATCGCCATCGGCGAATGTACACGAGACTCATTTAAAGCTCACATAAAGGCTGTTTTTTTTATATATACTCACTTATCATGCTATGTGCACGGCTTTCCCCCGCTCGTCTCGTTTATGTCTCAGTTAGTCCATTAACGCGCTGAAATAACTGAACACACTCGAGTCCTTCACCAGTACTTTCACACTTCAGTCTAACATGGAGCGAGTTAGGATTTCTGATTGACAGCGGCACGAGCCAGTGGCGGAGGAGGATATAAAACTCAAAGTCGCGTCCACAAATAACAGCCAATCAAATCACGTCGGAGGCGGGGCTACACGGTTTCCAATAGCGAGGTAGATTGTGTCTGTTTTAACTACTTGTATTCAATAATGTTTTGTGTGCTAAATTAGATTATATAAGTACATACGGTTAATTTTTAAATATTTAAAAAACAATGAAATGCATACAAAAAGTCAAATCAAGGTGAAAACTTGTACAAAGAATAAAATATGCAGGGTATCCACGTGCCGGAAAATTACTTTTTTCAAGTAACTAGTAAAGTAACGAATCTGCCTCATGAACAGTTAATGTTCTCCCATTGTGCAATTAAAGTATGTGCAATAACCTTATACCTATTTATCACCCTAAACCCTAGTACATCCCTACAACTTATTTTATTCTATTCCTATTCCATCTATAGCACACCTGTACATACAATTTATTCTTTTTTTTTTTGTGGTTTATATTTATGCATGTGTATTTTATTCACATCTCATTTTTATTATCTGTGTGTTGTTGTTGTCTCCGTGTACTGGAAGCTTGTGACACTATAACAAATTCCTTGTATGTGCAAACATACTTGGCAATAAAGCTCTTTCTGATTCTGATTCTGATTCTGATATTTACTTAAAAGCAATCATTCTAACATAATTCAATTATTAATTTACAAAATATAAACCAAAGGAAGAAAATGTTACAAAGGCAAAGTGTTCAAGATTCAGAATCAATATACACTCATTTTCACATGACGAGGACTGATTCTGAAGTATGCAAGCGCTTTCAGAAACTAAAATACATGTACATACACAAAAGAGCTCAAGAGGATAGAAAACAACAACTCCCTTGATTATGCTTTCCAATATTAAACTATTTGTTCTCAAACAGTAAACAGTAAAGACAGTAAAATGAGTTAAAATTACATTTTTTCTTATTATGCCCATTTATATTTTAAATAAGATGATACTGGACAAATTTATAGATCTTTGATAATGTTTAAATAATTAATGGATTTATGCATGTTCTGTTTTTTTATAATTCTAATATTATTTTATGCATCTTGTATATTTGTACTGCCACTGTATATGTGCAGTTGCAACATTGCAATTTCTCACTTTTGTTTTGAGATAAAGTCTTCTCTTCACTGTTTAACAGTATAGAATCCTTCATATTTGCTAATAGCTAAGAGACAAAGTCAGTTCACGGTGTGATTGCAGAGAGCAATGCGGCCTCATTGAGGAGATTTCCAGCCTCTTTCCTGTACTTCGGACTCAGCTCTTTGGCTCTCCGAGCCTCTCTGAGGTTTTCCCGCAGGTTGTCCACCAGCCTCCTTTGCTCCTGGTGTCTGGATTCAGCAGCTTCGACCTGATTGATCATGCTGTCCTCGGCTCTCAGAAGCGAGTCGATCATTTCGTTGAGTTTAGTGCTGACGGAGATGATGGCTTTGGCGGCTCGGCTCAGCTCGGTGACGTTCTCCTGCGTCCGCTTCAGTTTGCTGGGGATCTCGGCCTCTGATCTCACCATCAGACTGAAGTCGTATCCTTTAACCTCCAGATTGATGTGGCAGAGCTCTGACGGAGGGAAAATGATGAGGGCACTCGATAAAGATGGAAATAATTGTGCAGGATATAAGCCATAAATACAGATTCAGTATCCGGTATGATGGTGAATTCATTTCTGAATGACTAACTGCAATAAATAATTCAATGCATAATCATACTAATAACATCTACATAAAAACAAAACAATTCAACAGACATGCATCTTGAAAAACAAATCTGATTGGCAAAAAAGGCCTAATATTAGCTAATTTGATGATGCTTACAAACAGTTTTTTTTTCACAAAATAAGATTTTTAAAATTATTTATATATATATATATGTATGTGTGTGTGTGTATGTGTATGTGTGTGTGTGTGTGTGCGTGTGTATGTGTGTGTGTGTGGGTGTGTGTGTATGTGCGTTTTAATGCATTAATCAAAATAACAAAAGCATTCAAATGTTTTAATTTTAATGACAAACAGAAGTATTCAAAATGCATAATTTAACTTACAATCTGCAAAGAAGTGAAACATTTGTTCAAATCAGTGTTATTTTAGTAGATACTATTAAAGTTCATATTTTGATTTTGTTTTTATATTTTTTGCTTATATGTAAATTTTAGTTAAAATTGTAGTTATTTTGTTGTGTGTTTTGGACTTTTATTTGGTTTTAATTTTCTATAGTTTTTATTAATTATTATTTCCATTTTGGTTTTAGTTTTAGTTATTTTAGTGCATCAAGACAAACTAAATGAAAATGGGAAATGTTCCCATGTTAACTAGCTGATATAAAATAAGTTAGATTTTTATTTTATTTAATGTAATTTAATTTAATTTTAATTAATGAAAATGTTTTTTATGGTTTTAGTTAACTATAATAACCCTATAATATACTTAATTTAATGTCAAAAAACTTAAATACGTTTTTTTTTAACAAAATCTGTAATTTTCTGTGGCTGTAATTAGGCATTCTGAATGACTAATTAAATGCAAAGTTGCACACAACAAACTTATATGCAACTTTTATCCTTATTATGTATCCTATTTATCCTAGACAGACTCTATTTGTAATGGTCCATTATAAATAAAGAGTTTTGCTGGAATATCTCTGCACTGTGTGCAGTCGTTGCTCAGGCAGGCTGTGTGAAGATCTTACCATGTTTCTCCTTGATTTTCTTCAGGCATTGAGACAGACTGTCGTTATTTGGGCAGTGGTAGTGGCTTGAAAGAGTCTGAAGCTGGTTCTTCATTGTTTCATAATTGTCCTGCTGTTTGTTGAAAGTATCAGCAACGTCAGTGAAACGCTCATCGAGGCCGGGAACGCCAACACGACGAGCAGTAAAGCTGCCGCTCTTCTGAACTCCATCTGCTGGAGGATAAACAGATAGATAGAACAAACAATAGAACGACAGAATGATAGAACGATAGATAGATAGATAGAACGATAGATAGA